GAGTGAGGGGGGCTGGGCAGAGAAGGGGAGAGAGATAGTATGGGGGGGGGTGGCTGGGAAGGGGGGGGGTGCCAGGAGAGTGGGAGCAGGGGGCCGTGCCCAGCCCTGGGCAGCTCAGAAGAAGAGCCCACGCATGCGGCGCCCGATGCCCTGCCGGTCATACAGGATGTTGAATTTGTTGACAAACTGGTTCATGGTGTTGCAGGTCTTGGTGATGGTGCCTAGATAGGCCATGAGCCCCACGTCGTTGCATTGCTGGGGAGGAAGGGAGGCAGTCACATGCAAGCTGCCCCTCCCAACCCCCAGTACTGGAGAGACAGCTTCCCACCTCCTGTCTGCCCAGTCCCCCCAGCACTGGAAAGACAACTTCCCACCCTCAAGTTTCACCCACTCCAAAACCCCTAGTCTGTCCTAGGAGTCCTGGCTCCCAGCTCCTCCTGCTCTGACCCACCAGCCCCCACCTCCCAGCCTGCCCTGGCCCAGCTGCTCCCAGACTCTACCACCACGCCCCAACCTCCCTCCCACTCACATCATAGAAGTCGGTCTTGAACTTGTGGGTGCTGAGCACGGGCAGGCAGTGGCACAGGGCACAGGCCTCGCGCAGGATCTCGTGGTTGAACGGCACCTCACCTGGGGGTCAGGGCAGCCAGTTACAGGGGGGCACCAATGCACACCAGGCAGAAGAGTGGGAGGCTGGTCCCCATGCACTCAGCTGGGGTCAGAGCTCAGGGGAGAGTGTGGCCCATGTGCCCAGCAGGGGTCAGAGTTAAGAGGAAAACGTAGCCAGGGACCCTTGCACCTGGCTGGGGTCAGAGCTAAAGGGGCCCTAAGCAAGGGAGAGTGAGGGTTCAGGGAGACATGGGGAGCAGGGTGCACAGAACAGGCCCTAACCTGCTTCCGAGGCCTTGACGTACTCCAGGATGAGGCGGACGCGACTGTGCAGCATCTTGATGGCGCTGTGCTGGGCGATGAGGTGCTCGGCCACTAGGCACACGGCAGGGTCAGGAGGCTCTTCCCCTGTTGGCCCCACCCCCAGGCTGCTGCCCCCATGGACACTGTCCCTCCTCCTGAGTGGTCCCCCCGGCATGCTCTCCCAGCCCTGTGGGCTCCATCTGCAGTTCTGGGAGGCTCCCACATTCCATGGGCTCACCCAGGCATTGCTCCCACCACCACATGCATTGTCTCCTCTCACCCTGTCTCTGCATGCCCCGTCCACCCTCCATCATTCCCTGCATGCCCGCTGTCGCGGGGCAACCCGCCCACTGTGCACGCTCACCTGTGGAATTCTCCCCACTGCCGGTTGCTGTCATTCGGGCCACATGGTCAACCCCGATGCGCTCCGCCTCCTCCGTGGCCAGCGTGTAGGGCAGCTCTGCAAACAGCATGGTGGCCTGGGGACGAGGGGGCATCAGAGGCTGGGATGGCTCCTTGGCCCAGCTGGGAACCACAGGAGCAGTGTTCCCAGTAAGTTGGGCGCTTTGACGGCCAACCAGGAGATTCCAATGCTGCCCAGCTGATTAGCTAGATGCCAACAGCCAGCAATGTGCATTTCTACTGGGCTGTGTCTAGACTGGCCAGTTTTTCCGGAAAATCAGCTGCTTTTCCGGAAAAACTTGCCAGCTGTCTACACTGGCTGCTTGAATTTCTGCAAAAGCACTGACGATATCATGTAAGATTGTCAGTGATTTTGCGGAAATACTGTGCTGCTCCCGTTCGGGCAAAAGTCTTTTTCTGAAAAACTTTTGCACAAAAGGGCCAGTGTAGACAGCTCAGATTTGTTTTCCACAGAAAAGCCCCGATCGCAAAAATGGCGATCGGGGCTTTTTTGCACAAAAGCGCGTCTAGATTGGCCACGGACGCTTTTCCGCAAAAAGTGTTTTTGCAGAAAAGCATCCTGCCAATCTAGACGCACTTTTCCGAAAATGCTTTTAACAGAAAACTTTTCTGTTAAAAGCATATCCTGAAAATCATGCCAGTGTAGACGTAGCCCTGGTGAGGCATGCTCAGGGTGGGGGAACCTTACCTCTCCATTGATGATGTCGATCACTGACTCGAACACACTGACTGGCAGCTGGGGACAGAGAGCAAGAAACAGCCTGAGAAGTGACCCCAGCTACCCTCGGCCGTCAGCCGGATGAGGCAGAGCAGGGGACTGTTCCAACAAGGATCCTTCGCCCAGCGCTGAGATGCAGCCACCAGAGATTCGTGGCAGCCAGTTACGAGGACCCCTCGCCCTTGTGCAGATGACTGTGGGATGGTATGCATGGGCTACTGAGCTGTGGTTTGAGACACCAAGTGAAGAGGAATTCCACGCAAAGCCGGAGCTGCAGGAAGGCCAGCCATCCTGGAGCCAGACTTAGCTCCCTGGGGCAGGCGGGTGGCTTGTTTCTCCTCCCCTGCTGCCAGGCCCTGGCAGCCCCCTCTGGATCAGGCTCTTTTAGGGGTACTCACATCTGTGTGCTTGGTCATGGGGTTCAACTTGAGAAACAGGGGGCTCTCGATGATCTCACACACCTAGGCAGGGAGAGACCACCATCACCAAGGAACCAGCATCAGTTCTCTCAGACCACCAAAGACCCGCCCTGCATCACAAGAAGCCCCTCTGCCACAGAGGGACTTGGAAATAGCAGCTCCTGCTACTGCCTAGTGCAGTGGTCTCCAACCTTTTTAAGCACGAGATCACTTTTTTGAATTTAAGTGCAATTCAGGATCTACCTCAACCCAAATACCCTTGCCCCTCCTTCCCACCCCTTGTCTGTCCCATCCTCCCTCACTCCCCCACCCACCCTCACTTTTATCAGTCTGGGGGAGAGGGCTGGAGTGCCAGGGAGGGGGATGCGGACACAGACTCTGATCTTGGGCTAGAGGATTGGAGTGTAGGAGGGATTTCTGAGCTGAGCATGGGGCAGGGAGTTGAGGTGCAGGAGGGATTCAGGCTCTGGGAGGGAGTGAGAGTGCCGAGAGACTCAGGACTAGGGCAGAGATTTGGGGTGCAGGAAAGGTTCAGGGCTGGAGTTCAGAATGTGGGCTCCAATTGGGCACTGCTTACCACAGGTGGCTTCTGGGTGGTGGTGCAGTGGGGCTAAGGCAGGCTCACCCCTTTTCTGGCCCTGCACCACTCCCAAAAGCAGCGAACAAACTCCCTCTATCCCTGCCCTCCACCACTCTGCGGAGATGGGTTACAGGGCAGGGGGAGAGGCACTCTGATATCAGTGCCCCCTCCTCTTCCTGTGCCTGGCACAGCAAGCAAGAGCTCCCAGGGGGGTGAGGGGCAGCTCCAAGGCAGAGGGTAGGAGCAACATGGCAGTGCTGAGAGGGGTAGATGAAGTGCCAGTACTTGACAGCCTCCTAGCCAAACCAGTCAGGATCAGCTGTCAAAGGCTCTAGTGATCGTGGGAGAGGAGAGGGGCTGGAAGCTAGGACTCCTGGGTTCTTTCCCCAGTTCTGGGAGAGAAGTGGAGGCTGGTGGGTAAGAGCAGGGGTCTGGGAGCCAGGAGAGGGGGCTGACCTGTTTGTGGACGTGGATGTCAGACTGGTCCGGGGGGCCGCCTGTTGTGTACCAGCCCAGAAATTCCAGAAGCT